TTTGCGTGCACATTTGGGCGGCATTATGCAAATCTTCCTACATCGTGACGTAGACATGTTAGAATGAGCCGTTTTAGGTAGGCGTGGCTGACTGTTACATTTCATAAAGAATATCTCTTTGGATTTGAGACTTTAGTCTTTGCAACTTTACAGATCTTCTTTATGCACCAAGAGCTTGTAACACTCCAAAGAGAAAGGAAAAATTGAAATAGCATCATATGACCTCTTTAAAAATTTTAGGTAATATAATCAGACTACTTTTAGATTGCTAAAGGCACAGATGCATATGTGAGAGAGGTGTTTCCCGCACCACCCCTCTGTGGGGTGTCCTGAAGATGCCAGTGCATTGTTTGCCTCTCAGGAGATCAAAGTATTCTAGTTTCTTTTATCCTTACACTTTTGACCTAACTTGTTTATCACATTGATTTAAATAGGATAATCTTGTACCATATTGATATAAAAATACAAAGAGTAAAAAAATATATTCCATTCATTGTAATTAACAACATAAAGTGCATTAAAGTTACATTACGCCAAGGTTTAACAAACTGGGGTTTGTAAAGGTACTGCAGGGGGTTTGTGAGTTTAATGAAAAGTTAATCATTAATTAAATCATAACAATTTTAAATTAAAATGAATCATTTTAAAATAACATAATTCGAAATAAAACACTTCCTAAAAAAAATATTGTTTTATTTGTTTACATGCATGTCATGTGACCAGAGGTGTAAAATTTGTCTAACAGTTGGGGGGACAATAGACATAAAATTTCTCAAGAGCAATTTTTGAAGGGGACACAAATAATACAGCTAAAATTTTACTTGTATATATGTATATACAGATATGTATGTAGATATGTATATACAGAGGAAAGCCTTCAGCAGGGAGACCGTACCATATCAGACAACTTCAAGCTGTTGTGGTCGCGCCGCCGTTGTAGACACTAGGCTTGCACTTTAGCTTCCACTCTTCGCACAAACTATTGGATATGCGTCTAACAGCGCACATTTATCTAGGTTTAACGTTTAAACATTGTTATTTGAACTGTTTTATATCTATAGATTTTATTTTAGGCAAGTCGTGATGATTAGAGAAGGCTAAACTGATCAAACATGCAATGGCTATGACCTATAACAGGCTATGATCATCTCACTGTCTGCCGCTGGCTGCTTGATCATTACTTGAAAAACCAAAAAATTATTTAACGAGCAAAAAATGCTCAAAACGTTTTCCTAAATTAACTTAATAAAAAACGAAACGAAATATAGCCTTTGCCCTTGGGCTGCAGCTGCCATTTCAACTCCCTGTTTTTTTCATGTCTTGCTCTTTGCTGTAGTTTTGTTAGTCTGAATTTAGTCTCAATCACTCAATGCACAGCTCTATTTTGAGATCGGCTGGGCAGATGATTCATTCCGTTGCCACTGTCAATCATAGCAATGACTCGCGGCATGATTTAACGAATTCACTGGCGTAAATTTAACATTCGTGTTTGTCATTCCTGAAACGATATATGTGGGCATTTGGTTCTCTTAGACAAACAAAACTTGTCTTCAAATTGTGAATGGATTATGTAGAGAAACCGAGCAAAGGGCGCTCCCTTAAGGCACAGTACAGTTAACCGGAAATGACTGAGCTGGCTTATCTAAAACCAGGAAGTAATCGTGCATATGGTCAATTGTAACCTCAAATGTCATTGGTTATTCCTCTTTTCCGGAAGTCAGTATTGGACGCCTGTTATAAGATGATTTATAATTCTCTTGACTCAACCTCTTAAGACCCGGCAAAACATTTTAGGAAAACATTTTTATTTTTTGATGTCATTACATTGTTTAGAGCGTAAAAAAAAAAAAAAAAAAAATATATATATATGATATTTCATTCATAAGTTATGCTACGTCCTTGGTAGGACATCAGGACTCAATTTCTTAAAAAAAATAAAAAGACATGAATGAACATGCATAGGCAAAAACAATAGATTTTTTTTTTAAATCACCGATACATTTTTAGTTTTCAGGATTTTCCAGTTGAATTCTCAACTATGTTATAACAGAATGATTTGATATACCATTTTTCTTCATGCAATATGTGTGTAAAATGGCCATAAACAGATTTTCTCATTATATATAATGTATCTATAAACTAAATCTAAAGTATCTCTGAAAAGCCCTGAATGTGCTCTGTACAGGACATCCAGACTTAAAACTGTGGCATGTATAGTCTCAGAGAAATACACCAAAATATAATGTCCTCATATACACAGGTCTCAGGAGGTTAAGACATGGCATCAGTGGACCAGATGCATGCGAGTTATCGTTTCATTTGCTTGTTTTAGTTATTTATTTAGTCTTTATTTAATGTAATTTAATGCATTGTTCATAGAGTAGACCTTTTTCAGATACTTTATTAATAGGAAATCTTGACTGATTGCAGTCTTGTGATGATAAGAGATACACATATGAACCCTTTTTAAAGATTGTAATGATGCACGCACACTCACACACACACACACACACACTCACACGCCGAACACACACACATGCATACATAGGCTATATATAAAGCTATATGAATGACAGTAAAGTTTTCAAAATGTGTTTATCTTTAATCTTGTAAATACAACATCGTAATATTTGAAGGTTTGTTTAGTCTGTGTTCCTATAAAACACAGGTTTCACCATGTTTGCATTTGATTTACAGTGTTACTAGTCATCTGCTATCAAAATCAGTCCATTCACGATGATGTATATGAAAATTGGTTCCTGTTTATTGAAAAGAAGCTTGTAATACATTATTATTAAACATGTATTTATACCGATTTCATTAGGCTCCGAAAATTCTTCAAAAAGAACACAAAGAATGGCCTTCTCAGCTGCGTTCAGCCCCGACAAAACGGTGCAAAACATTTTTTAAACGGAAACGGTGGTGTGACTATGGCCTTATTATTTTTATTGTGAGTATTAGACTTATCATTATTGCTGATCACTGTTGTTGTGCTATGTTATTGTAATATTTACCATTATATAATCAGAGGAATATAGAAAAGTTTATGAAAGTGTCACTCCATAATACAATAGCAAAATATATAAATATGTATAGTATTTTTATGTTACATTGATCAGTGTCTAGCACACCTTCCTAAGGAAAGGATATGGACCAGAAGACATTGCAATTACTAAATGATATTTAGACAGACTTAAAGAAGTTCCAGATCTATACTTGTGCTCTTATTATTTCAGTTATTGTGCCTTTAATGTAAATAAACATGTGCAAACAATATACTTGCTCTTGTGAATTTATTTTGATGTTAATTACATTGTGCGAGCTGTCTCTTTAATACCGCGTGGTTTATATACATGTTGCTACTGATTGGGCTGACATTTTTGACACACCCACCAAACAAGAGAAAACGCATTTCAAACCCCGTTGCACACCGTTTCCAGGAAACATGTCGTTCAAACCGGAAACCGTTGCAAAACGTTGCGCACCGGTTTGAGCTTGAACTTGCCCCAGGCCAGAAAAAAAGCAAGTTG